AGTCCCTTTTAATATTTGTGTGCCTACTGCTTCAGATCTTTTTCTTTATACATGCATGCTCTCCCACACACTCTGTCATTATTTTAAAAAATGAGATCATACCCTCATATTACTTCATCACTTGTGTGCGCACTTAGTATACCTATTTCTGGGTTTGTTAACCTAAATCCAAGCCATCATTTTTAATGGCTGTATAGGAATCCATCAAACGCAGACTTCACCAATTATTGATCTATCCTTCAACCAAAGGCACTTAGGTTGTTTCCAGTCACTTGCTATAATAAACACCACCAGACACAGTATATAAACCTGTTTACACAAATGTCCACAATTACTTCCTTAGAAGCGGTGTTGATGGGTCAGTGAGTGTACAACTCTTAAATGCCTTAAGGGAAAGCAAAACAGCTAGCCTTGCTGAGATGGGAGGGTGAGAGAGGCACTTTAGTTACAGAGAGTCACTGTCTTTCAGGTCCAGGCAAACAGTCCTGGGTGTGCACTGGAAGGACTGATGCTGTAGCTGAAACTCCAGTACTTTGGCCACCTCATGCGAAGAGTTGACTCAATGGAAAAGACCCTGATGCTGGGAGGGATTGGGGGCAGGAGGAGAAGGGGACAACAGAGGATGAGATGGCTGGATGGCATCACTGACTCAATGGACATGAGTTTGAATAGACTCCGGGAGTTGGTGATGGACAGGGAGGCCTGGCATGCTGCAATTCATGGGGTCGCAAAGAGTCAGACATGACTGAGCAACTGAACTGAACTGAAACAGAACAACCTTCTGTTCATCTTTTCTCCTGACTTCCTCTCATTCACCTATTGGGAAATGCATCTCTTTCACTGACAGAAACAACTAAGTCCTTTTGCATAAAATCCAGAGGCATATAGCAAGTGTCTGTGAAACAGAACTTGGGGTGTCAGCTAGAAATGCAATGCAAAGGATCAGCATGAAGGGGCTTTTAAAAAGCAACAAACTCTCCCAAACAGTTCCCATGAGTTTACCACTCAGCCCCCTTGGCATTTAGGGTGAGCAGACAGTCACCTCAAAGACCTCTACTGAGGAGCCAGTGGGCAAAGAGACCAGTCACAAGGGCCTGCCATAAGAAAGAGAAGCTACCCCACAACCCATCCTGAATCCTGCTGCTGCTGCTGCTAAGTCACCTCAGTTGTGTCCAACTCTGTGTGACCCTATAGATGGCAGCCCACCAGGCTCCCGTCCCTGGGATTCTCCAGGCAAGAATACCGGAGTGGGCTGTCATTGCCTTCTCCAGTGCATGAAAGTGAAAAGTGAAAGTGAAGTCGCTCAGTCGTGTCCAACTCTTGGAGACCCCATGGACTGTAGCCCACCAGGCTCCTCCGTCCATGGGACCTTCCAGGCAAGAGTAGCGGAGTGGGGTGCCATTGCCTTCTCCGAAAATGCTGCATTAGGTAGAGATAAACACAAAGAAAGGGTTCTTACCCCTGCCACTCACTGGCAGGAGCACCATAGGGCACGTCTCTTATTGGCCTTTTATGATCAGGTGACCAAGAAGCTCTAAGCTTAACCTCAGGGATATGACTAACTTTGAGTTTTGGTATTTTGAGTCTAAATACCAAATTTTTTGCGTCACCACACCTAGCCATGGTCTTAATTTCTATTTTTATGATCATTAAAAAAAAAAAATCTCCCATTCAGTGATTGTCTACCATCTGTCCCTGGAGTTTTCATTAGTTCATACTCATTTAATCCTACCTACCCTCTTGGAAGGGACATGTTACTCTTACTTTATGTTCTAAATGTGCTTCAGGTCACATTCTAACTAAAAAGATGGTTTAATTCTCATGGCATAGAGCAGTTAATAAATAGCTCACAGCTGAATGAATAAATGCACACATTAATGAATAAATTATGTTGTAGACTCCTTTCTAATGTCATAACATTTTTACTCCAGAAGACTTCTTCTACATGTCTTTTTAATAGAACTTATCTCAGAATCCTTTTTGAAAACTCAACATACATTAACAATCAGAAATGAGCAAGACTTCTATTCCATCTGTAGGAAGCAGTGTCACAGCCACAGTGCCCTGCCCCCAGGAAGACTCTCATAATCCAGCAACTGAAGGGTTACACCTAGCTCAGCAGAGGGCTTCCAGGTGCCTGCTTCCAGGCTTGGGCCATCTTAAATTCTGAAGGTTTCTTGTTGAATATTTAAGTATCACTCCTGTAAACAAGTCACTTAACATCCCAGGCTACAGTTTGCTCATCTGGGTAGAGTTAGCATGTTGACCTACACCTAATTTCTTCTAACTTGAATCATCACTTTATGAGAAGTGAAGACAGAAGGCAGTGATGGAGATGCAGACACTGCCAGCTATGGACAGTGCTTACTGCCCAAAAACCCACTTTAGTGGGAACTCTCACATAGAACTGAACTTCTAAGTCACTCGGAATGCTTTATAAACCCCACTGATTCTTGCTCCATCTCACTTCCCTGCAAGAGGAGTTTGTTTAAAGAATCTGCATGAGGCTCCCAGGGCACTTTTAAAGTTTACCTCTGATTACCAACCAGTGCTTTTGGGGGGATATCTCTGAAGCTGAATGAACTGATATTTGCATTGGCCAGATAATCCCTAGCCAGAGGGACTTCTCCCACCCCCACCTACTTTTACTCCCTGTGCCAAAGCTCCCTGGATTTTGGAGGTTTCTGATCTGCTGGTCCATGCTGTTAATGGCTGCTGGTGAAACGTGCCATGTCCCAAAGTTCTCTCCAATTGCTCTGAGCTTCCTGTATCTGAACTCAAAGAAGGGGAGCTGAAGCAGCTGGGAGAGAAAAACCAGAGTGGGCATAGTCCAACAGCAACCTTTGAAAGAGCCAATCAAAACTGCCGGCCTTCTGAATCATCACACAGGGTGAGGGAAGGGTCTGCCAGATTGGTCACCAGCAAGCAAAAAACCAGATAGAAAACTAAAAGTTGGCACTGGTGATTTGGAAGATGGCTCAGAGGCCTCAATACTGATAATTAGAACATAATTTAGTGGTTTTGAAAAAAAAAATTTTTTTCCCCCCAAAAATGGTAAAGACAGCAAAGGCATCTTTTGCTGTCCTCTTTTCTTCCCTTTGCAGATTCCCTCTCTTTTGTGTCTTTAACTGAACTTGACAATGACTTCTCCTCTGGCCCAGAAAACCAAATGTCTATTTATTTTGGTAATTAATTTAAGAAAATGAACCCAGAGAATTTTTGGAATGATAGTATTAAGAAAGACTCCTCTCTCTCTCTCTTTCACACAAACACACACCTGAATGTACACACTCATACACATCACAGCTACACACAGCAAAGGCTGCAAGATAAGACAGGAAATCATGGGTTGTCATCAAGGACTAGTTGTGAGATCTTAGGCAAGCTGTTTCATCTCTGAAAGCCTCAGCTCCTTTAATAGGCACAATGGAGGGGTGACTGGTGTCTGTCTCATAGGGTCGCTGTGGTAATGATTAAGTGAAGTCGTGTAGGTAAAGTGCTTTGCCCAATGTCAGTAAAAAAATAAGACCATAATAAATAATAAAAGGCAGTTTTTAAAAAACAGTGGTTTGCTTTCACTTTAGGGAGAAGAGTGTCAGAAAGTGCCAATGTTCAACAAATTGATCAACGAAAATGTTATTTATCTTTTGAATGTACATTATATAAGATGGAAGTGGAAGAGAGACATTTCCTTTCTTTACACATATGCATAAAATAGGCACTTCCTAGTTCAGATTTAGAAAGTCAGAAGTTAAGGTCTACATTCTTATTAGGAGGGCCACAAAGATGTGATAAATGTCTTGCCATTCAACTTGCAGATGGCTGGCAGTCTTGGCACCCTAACGACTGTTTCTGACTTCTGACTCCTATCTCTACCCCTTGGCTCTGTAGAGAGCCTACACAGAACATTTCAGTTATGTTCCAATTAGCCCTGAGTAGGAGAAAGCCAGATGACACACCCTACGACTTGGCTATACCACGTTACAAGCCAGTGTCATCTTTTATTAAAGGTTTCACTTTAGAACTAATAATTCCAGGAGAGAAGAGGACATCGCACTCTGCCACAGTGGAAGAACCTGATATAGATACAAGATGAAACAAGTGATCATTTTAGGAAGACCTTCTTGGTCTTGAATTTTGGTCTTATTTGGAGAATCCAGAAACACCCTGAGAAATCACTTAATTTGAGGAAGAGACTTTAAAAAATAAAGAATGGAGGGGAGGGATAAAACTTTAGAAACAATAAAAAAAGACGGTATTTTAACAAACATCCTAAAACTTAGGACCAGATAGATGGTTTCCAAAGAAACAGGACAAGCAGAGAGAAATAAGCAGACTTCAGAGATAGTGAAAGGGTGCTTCAGGACTGGAGACAGAGAAGCAGACATAAGCATAAGAGTGTGCCCAGGGGAAACATAACCGACAATGGCCAAGCGTGTTAAGCACCAAACCTCCAAGAATCTGGGCAGGATGGAAGAAAATCTGTAGCAGGTATACATGCACTCAACTGACACCCACAGCTCCATCCTGTGCTTCCTGAAGTCACAGAACAGTAGTTACACTGAAGCTGATTGAAAAAAATTCCAATAAACGTATAGAAGTTTTTGTGCCTTCCATTTCTAAGACTTTTTCATACTTGTACACCTAGAGGTCCTAATGAATACAGTAACAATAGCCTCAAGACAGCACTAAAGCTTAATCCTAAAAATTAGCAACTTCAGCAAGAGGTGGCTCTGCCCAGAATGGGCTTGGAGTCCCTGCTCTATGAGCTCACCTCCTGGATTTGTCACTTACTAACCGTGCAACACTGGACAAGGGACTAAACCTTTTCAGTTTCCACGCCTGTACAATGGAATACATCTACCTGGCTTGAAGACTGAATAACGAAGACAAAGTAAATGGGAGTGCTCTGTAGCCTGTGAAACAGCTACATCTTTGAGGCCTGGCAAGTAACCTAGCTCACACAGCTAGGATCTCCCGTTTAAGCAAGACGCAAATACCTGAGGTGTCGCATGCATGCCGTCCTGCTGCCGGCTCTCTGTGGGGGCTGCTGTGTCTGTAGATAATGTGGGGTTTGTTCTGCGCCTCTTCATCTTCTTGTTCATCAATGGACAGTAGTGGTTCAATAAAATAATCCCCATCATGGGACCGAAATGTGCCCAGCTGCAAACAGAGAGAGATGAGAAGTTGATTTAATATAACCTAGCCACTGGGAGGAAAAAGACAGTGGAACAATGCCAAGTAAGTGGTACCATCTTACCCAACTCCTTTCCCATGAGGGCTCCTTGAGCTGAAAATCTTACTGGTGTACTTGGAGAAGTAGTTTTTTTATTTTTCTTTTTTCACTCTCTGTCGTATCAATACCTCAACTTTTGATTGGACTCTACAGAACCTGCTATCCAAATCAGTCTCTAAGAAATATTTCCTCGGTGCTTAAGCTGTAATTATATTCACTCCTCCAGGCTGCTGAAAGAGGGTTTCTGTGTGTTAGGACAGCTTGGAAACAGGGACAAGTATCAGTTCCAAACAGAAAAGCCTCCTCAAGAAAGCCTTATCCTGACTTGAAAATCAGGAAGCACATGTTGACCAGAGGCACTCACGACGGTGCTGCCAGGGACAGTGAGGAGCCTCTATCAGGCCCCTCCCCGCCCACAGGGCCTGACCGGGGTAAGACTCTCCGGTCAGGCTGCCCAGGCCTCCAACCTCAGTGCCACCACTTGCTCGCCCACCTTGGGTAAGTTCCTTAACTACTCTGAGCTTCACCTTCCTTGTTTATCAATGAGGGATAAAAATATTTACTGGCACTGTGCAGATTAAATGAGATAATGTGTGTAAACTACAAAGTGATACCTTGTCAGGGCTTGGACAGAAGTGGCTTTTGGTGTTGCAGAGTGAGCCAGCCTCTAACCACCAGGATATAATTTGTGTTTGCCAATCACTCTAAGAGTTTCACAGTAACTCTTTCTCCTCCCCTTCCCATATACCCACAAGTTCTGCAAATTGTAAATGAAGCTGCAAAGTCGAGCCACCCAAAGGAAACCTTACAAGAGTGATAAAAAGACCCCGGGCCAGGCTAGTGGGCAGTATTTCAAGGAAAAAACCAAGCTCTTCTCTCCTTCTTTGTGGTTCCTTTTCCCTCCATGTGGGGGAAAAGGCACAGGCCTTTGACTTTCCCCTGGACCCAGGAAATGACTGCTCTTGAACATCAGTGGCAGTATCAGCACTCAAGTGCTGATATTCCACCCAAATTCTAATCTACTGAATTGAAATATCTGGGGGGTAGGTAGGGCACAAGAACTGACATTTTAGAATTCTTAGGCATGACCAAGTTTTAAAGTACTTAGCTAAGCACTGGGGTTCCCAAACCCAGCTAAGTGTCAAAATTTCCTGGGAAGTTGAAAAATAAATTTAGATTTGAGAAATCACCCTATGTATGCAGATTTGGTATTTCTTTCTTTCTTTCTTTTTTTTTTAGATTTTTGTATTTCTAATGGTAAGATCTAATCTTTGTATTTTTTTAAAAAAACTCTCCATGTAGTTCATCAGCCTCTGACTTAAAGAGAAGATAGCTTTGACACAGTCTGGTGTCAGAATAAGAGAGTAATTGTCTTCCAGAGAAGAAATGATTTAACAAGTTTGCTTTTACCCAGGCACCTCTCCCTATTTTCAAAACACAACTCTGATGCTCTCTGAGCACAAAGCAAGAAACCGACTACAACAAGTGAAAGCTACTAGAGACAGGCCACAAATACTGAGAAAGAATCTGGGAGCCCATCTGGTGAAAGTCTGGCATCTTTGATTACTAAAAGGGGAAACTGAGGTCCAGAGGCAGGAACTGACTTGTCCCCTTCAGTGATACAGATGCAGTGGAATAGTTCTCCTGCTAAATCTGGGACTCAGGTACCCTGAACTCTAGTCTAGTGCCTTTAAAAAAGAAAAATGAAACTTTGAAATCCTCTTTAGGAACACAGATTCAGTCTCTGGCCCATGGTTAAGAGTATGGTCAGAAGGAATGGATGGGAACCCCAACTCTGTCACTTACTACCTGTGAAACCACAAGCAAGTCCCCATCTTTCAAAGATTCAGTGACAACTGCAAAATGGGTTCTTTCAAGGACTGGGCTGTTGTAAGGATTCAGATGAAATATTGCATACATAAAGTACTTATTACAGTACAAGACACATAACAAGAGTTCAGTAAAAGGAATATAAATGAGGTCAAATTAATTTTGTGGCTGATTCACAACACAGTTGTTTGAATGAAGAGTAACCTTTTCTTGGCTAAGGTGACCATTTATTCAAATACAGGCTCTAAGTACTTTCAATACACAAAAGGTTCCACTGCGGGAGAGAAATGAATTGATGCTGACCCTGCTTCCCAGGAAAAGGGGATAGAACATGTGTTGCAAGAACCATAATACAAGGGAGAGCACACTAAACATCAAGGAGGGAGAGAGGTATATGTCTGTGAAAGTGGAGAGAGAAGGCAGCAGTCTGAAGGACCAGGAAGAGGTTTCCTGGGGAACAAAATACACTAGTTACACTTTGAAAGAAGGGTGTGATTTGAGCACGTGAAGCTGGTTGAGGTCACCTGGTAAATCCAAAGGCCCAAAGGTCATGAGATGGGAGGGAAATGAAATGTGCAAAAACAGTTAGCCTGAAATGTAGGATGTGTGAAGCAAAGCTTGACAGATGAGACTAGACACTATAGATGTACAAAGGGGTGAGGAGGTACACTGTCAGTGGCCTTAAGTGCCAGAGTGAAGAATTTATAGTCATTCACTAGGCAGTGGGGAGGTCTGTGCAGTAACTGAACAGGGTAGCAAAGTGATTTTGCACCTTGTCATCATTAATCTACAAGCAGTGTGTAAAACTGAACTGAACTGAAGTCACTCAGTCGTGTCCAACTCTTTGCGACCCCGTGGACTGTAGCCCGCCAGGCTTCTCTGTCCATGGGATTCTCCAGGCAAGAATACTGGAGTGGGTTGCCATTTCCTTCTCCAGGGGATCTTCCCACGCCAGGGATTGAACCCAGGTCTCCCACATTGTAGGCAGATGCTTTAACCTCTGAGCCACCAGGGAAGCCCCAAGCAGTGTGTGCCAGGGATTAAAGAGAAAAGACCAGAAGAAGAAGCCAGACAGAAATATTTCTTAGACATCAGCCCTAATGAGAGAGGAAGAGAGAAGCAAAGAGGTCTGGAGGTAGAGTAGGGCTGCTCAAAACAGGTGAGAAACACATCTGAGAAGGATTTCAGGGAAACTAATAACTGACCAGTAGGGCGAAGGGAGGGAGGAAGGCTGCCATGGCTCAGTCTAAAGAATGAACGATTCCCAGGAAGATTTCCTGAGAGCGCCAGGAGGAGCACCAAGATACTACAAGTACCAAACCGGTACGGGGACATCTTTCCAAGAAAGATAAATTCCAAAAGGAAGACAAAGGGGCAAGGATTTTGGAGCTAGATTCATTCCAGCTATAAACGGCTACCTCGCATATTTTTCAGATAACAGGCCAGATCTTCTGCACCTCCCTCCCCTCCAAAAAAAGAGCCAGACTGCAAATTAGGCGCAAAACAAAAGAACTCAAGGTCTAGGGGGTTCATCTTTCTTAAGTCCTGGCCCTCAGTTCCCTAAGAGAGTTACTTACTACTCTGCAGTTACAAGTGCGAGTTACCACCTAAAATTGCCAATAGAAATTAAGGTCCTGCGCAGCAAAACGTTTCCACCACTGCTGGGGCCACCCCGCAGGGTGTGGAGGCGGGGAGGGAGGAGGAGAAAAGGCTGTTTACAAACCTGACTTACACACAGCAGCCCTGTCAGTGAGGTTCTGGACTGGGGGTTACAGCCGTGGGATCTGGGCACACTCTGATGCTCTGGGTTCCAGCACCTGACTTACACCCACCCAGATCAAACACCCTTTCCAAGAACAGAAGGATTCCAGGCGTCCCGGGGCAACGACGACTCATGCAGCACCCCCTCCCATTTCGCCGAACTGCCGTCTCCGCCCACCCCCAAACAATCTCAACGACGCACCGCGACTCTGGGAGCTTTGCTGGGGGCTAAAGGGAGTTCACCTTCATCCTCGCATCCCAGCAGCCTAAACCTCCCCCCTCTCAGTCTACAAGCTTGCCTCCCTTCCCACCCGATCCCTCGGTTGAGCAGTGGAGATGGATGCGACATCAACATTTGGGACTCGCGAACCACTAACAGCAGCGCGCGGAAGGAGGGGCAGCCAAGAGCCCTGGGTAAGTAGTCAAAGCTTCCACTTAGAAAGGTAACGGCTGGGAGTATGGGTGCTCTGGGGAAAAGTAATTGCATCACTGGGGAGCAGGACGCACAGCCCCTGTGCGCTGGGAGATCCTGACCCACGATAGTTTCTGCGTCAGAGCGCGTGGCATAAACGCACGTCGCTTGGGGAAGTTCTAGAACCGCTCTCACTTGGGCCAAAACCTTACAGCGGACCCTCAAATCCCATAAAAGGGAGAGGGTAGACAAGTGTAGGGCAGACAAGAGAGCAAGTGGGGCGGGGGGGAGAGGGAAAGAAAAGGGGGCGTGAGTAAATAAACACCGCGGAGGGGTACCAGCTTGCGTCCCCTGCTAAATGCGTGTTTTGCAGTGCATGGAGGGGGGGGGGACTTCCCCGCCCTCTCACCCTCCCTCTCTAGGGAAATGTGCACCTCAGGCTCCGTTTTCGAATGCTCTGGCACCCCATGGGTAGCGGAAATCTCAGGAGAACTGAAGTCTCTCCAAGCTCTGCCCAGTATTTCTGCTTCTTGGGGCCACCCGCCAGCAGGGTGCGGAGTCGGACTGCGACGCACCCCCACTCGTAGTCTCCTCGCTGAAGCCGAGCGTCCAGAACAGGCCCCGCCCTCTCCCCCGCCCCCGAGCCCTGGGCCCGCCCTTCCGTTCGGAGACCGGACCTGTTCCCTGTCAATCCAGTTCAGCCTCAGGGCTCCTGGCGCCTGAAAAAAGACCCTGAGAGAACGCGGGGACTCTAGATTACGCGCCGCCCTCCAAGGCACACAGAAGGAACTCCCCGTACCGGACGCGGGGGACTCAGCCCACACCCCCGACTCAAGATGCGCCAATAAGGAGTCGGGCTCTCCCTGTGCTCAGCTGCTCCACTTCTGGGCGGCCGAGTTTGCAGAAGGGAAGGACAAGTCCCTTCGAGTTTGGAAACCGACATCCCAGCCACCTACTGGTGTGGGGCAACACGCAGTTCAACAGCTGAGCTGAATTTGGACCCTAGAAAGCTCCGAAACATTCATAACTCCCCCTCCCGGGACTTGATGAGGGGGGTGTCGGGGAGGATGAGCTTCTCTCAAGTGTCAGCACACTCGCCGGAGTAGCCACCCAAAGCATAGGACGCAAACAAATTTGTAGCCCCTGTTTAACGCAGAGCAGAGCCGGCGCAGTGAGGGTCCTGGGCTAGAGAGCAGTTAAGTCTTCACAACGGGCGAGGAGGTGAGAGGGCAGGGCCGGGGAGGGGCGCGCGTCGCTTACCATTCCCGAGCAGAGGCTGATGACGGCCCTGTGCTCTGACTTGGTATTGACATGGCCTTTGTAGAAACAGTGCTTGAGTTCCGCTTCCTCCTCGGAATAAAACTTACTCTGGTTCACCCCGGGTGCCCCAAGGAGGGTGACAGTGAACATTGGAGCGATAAATCCAGCATGGGCGGTGAGATTAAATAGAAATTGCTGGCCAAAGGCGGAGAGGCGGTAATGCTCCTGGGAGGAGGTAGCGGAGGAAGAGGAGGAGGCGAAGCCAGGCCAGGGGTCAGAGGCAGAGTTAATGCTTCGTCGCCTTCTTTTGAAGTGTACGTTCCTGGGAAAGGGTTCTCCAAGAGCGTTCACTCGGACGGGAGACGCGATGTCGTATTCGCTCAGGGTCTCTAATAATCTCGCTGTAGAGAGAAGCAGAGGCACATGAACCGATAATACAGTTTTCTGCAAGTTTTAACTTAAAAATGAAGTGTGTGTGTGTGTGGGGGGGGTGTTCTCCTAAGTTATTTTCCAGCTTTTTCCTCCCCATTCAAGTCAATCCCTTCACCTTCAGTCACTGGACAAATATTTGCTGAACACCTAATATGTGTCAAAAAGTGTTAGATGCTGTCAGAGATTGAACAAGACAAAATACATAACATGATTATAGATCCTGACAGATACCCTGAATTATGTGACGAGGTGGTGCCCCCAGTTACTAGCCAACTATAGTTTGGGGCCTGGCATGGGTAAGGAGAAAGATCAGGCTAAAAGAAGGGGGCGGACGACTAAGTTCTTTCCACAGTGTCTCTTGAGAGAATGCCTGGGAATGACCTAAAGAAGGGAGAGGCTGCAAAGCGGGAGATAATTCTTTCTAGGAAAAGGAGAGGGGAGAGAGAGGCCTCCGCTGCGGGGTGTCCGCCGTCGGACACGGAGGCTAAGGAGGTGGCGACAGGGGCGGAAAGGTCCCCGTGGCCGACTCTCGTTACCTTGCCTCGGGTGCAGCCTGTCCTTGCGCACGGCCGCCGCGGCATCTGGGCTCCCCATCTCGGCCAGGTCTCGCACCAGGAGCGTTAGCAGTGTGGCCCAGGATACAAACTGCATGGTGCTCCCCACCCCTCCCCAGCCGCCCCCACCCCCCTCCCCTCCTGCCCTCCTTGGCTGCGAGGCTGCGGCTGCGGAGAGCGCGCGGAGCCCGGTGCCCGCCGCCAACTTTTGACTTTAGGAGTCGCTGAGGTCTCGCGGCGAGGGTCCCGTCTGCGCTCGGCTGAGCAACGCCGCCGCCTGCCGAGAGCTGAGCCGCTCGGGCCGCAGGAGGAGCCGGAGGAGCAGGAGGAGGAGGAGGACTGGGGCTCGGCTGCTTGGCCGCATAATGTACAGGGAGCCGGCAGGAGAAAGCGCGGAACGTGCGCTCCGAGGCGCGCCGGGCGCCCTGTGCTGGCGGGGATAGCGGAGCGGCTTCTTGAATGGGGGGCTGGGGGGGCGGAGGGGGGGGCGCGCTACTCAAATACTCAGGTCCCCGCCTCTCGGAGAGGGGAGGAGAAAGCGGAGTGAGTGGGGACCGCCTCCTGCCACTCGGCTCCTCGGCTGCCTTGCGGTACTTGCTGCTCGCAGAGTCGCCGGGAGCGCAGGGGCGCCGAGTGCGGCCCGCCATCTCCCCGGGACGGGCTTTTCTGAGACTCCCTGCCCTGGAGAGAACAGAACAGAGAACGTTCTCCCTCTTTCCTGGTGCCTCCAGTCTCTCTCCCGTATCCTCTCTTTCTCCCTTCGGAATCTCTTCTCTCCCTCGCCCTGTCAGTCCGCTCTATAACCCCTTTCCCGCTTATGGTCTCTTCTCTCCGTCCCACTGTGCACCAGTTCCCGCATCTCCCCCATCCCTTTTCTCTTTCTACACGGTCCCCATCTCTCTCTCTTCTCTTTCTCGATGAATTTCTGTCCCTATCTCTTTTTGGTTTCTCACAAGTGAAAGTGGACCAGCGCAGGGGCGCCTTCTCGTCCCCCAGTTTCTCACGAGGGAGGGGGTTTGGCTTCAGGGCTCCGCTCTTGGCTTCACCGGCCGAGGTCAAGAGTTTTGGAGCTGGGGTTCTCATCTGGCAGTTCAGGATGTGTTTCAAATTCATGGTCTCCTCAAAGTTTCCCAAAGCTTTTCAGTTGTTCTTGCCCCAACCTCAGACCCATCGAGAGAGTGTCTATTGCTTTCTGTAGGTCTCCAGCCCAAAAAAGGTTAAGAACGGCTCTGGGCAGCAAGAGGAGGCGGGGATTTCGGCGCCCCCATGTGCCTTGGGTTTTAGAGATACAGGGAGCCAGGGAGACAGAGGAGACTCTCACTGACTCGAGGGGAAGCACCAGTGCCTGGAGACATTTCTCAACCACTTCCGCTTGCTTTTTGCCAGAGAGATGCTTGGAACAGCTTAAAGCTGACACTTTAAACTATACCTACCTCTAACGTGGGATGCATATTTTAAAGTCGGAAATTCTGCCAGAGAGGGATGGTGTGTATTTATGTGTGTGTGTGAGAGAGGGAGAGTGAAAGAGGTGTTTAATCCTGGATGTTTTGAACAATTTCTGTAAAAGTGAATATTTGCCCCAAAGTCCAGAACCAGAGTTCTCTGTTACTTGGAAGGATGAAAAAACCAAAGACTGCCTATACAGGTGGGGGGTGGGGAGGGGAAGGGGGGGAACTAAAGCAATATTCTATAAGTGTTCACTACTCTGGAAATATTAATGTAAATATTTCTCCTGATACAGGGAGAAATGACTTGGCAAGAATAGAATCTCCTAAAGAAGTTGTTAACCCAAATAGACCATGTGCCTTGCCTGGAATTTATGATTGGTGCACACAATGTAAAAACGGCAAAACAGAAACACCTGTTAAGCACACAATCAGATTTGAAAATAATAGTATTTAAAACTTCTTCTTAAACCTTCAAGGTATTGACTAAAAGACATTTCTTCCAGTACACAATCTTTCTTTTCATTATGTAGTAAAAATTCCTCACAATCTCAGTGTCTGAGGTTTGCTGACAGTTTAGCAGGAAACAGGAAAACATCAAGAAATCAAATTCTTAGCTGATTCCTATGGAAGATATCCTAGGACTGCCACTATTAAATTACTCAAAAATGTAGCACATTGCAGTACTGCCCATTAAACAATTTTCCTATTTTTCAATTTGAATCCCTCCCATAAAGAACTTAACAGTATGGCAGTTATATGTAAGGGTAGAGGTTTCATTGTGTGCTCTTTGTCACTTTCTTTCTAGGACTTAGCGTTAAAGGATGAACTTTGTTTATGGTTCTTTAACATTGCTCCTGATACAAATAACCATCTCTACAGCTGATAGGGACTAAAAATAGTTGCTCTTGAAACTTCCTGAAGTGCTCAGGAGTCTGGCTTTCTGAATTTCTCATCCCCAGGGAGTTTATTCACCCTTTCTTAAGTGTTACTAGCTTACCTCTGAATTTACATCTATAAACAAGTCTTAAAAACAAAAATCTTTGGAAGATATTTGAAATCACAATAAACGAATAGGACAACTGAGCTAGCTAACTAAATAATTCAAGTCAAAATCTTTTGTCTGAATAATAATAACGATGATAATCAACTTTGAGAACCATGAGCTACCCCTTGCGCATTTAATACAACATTTAATTTTTACAGCATCTCTATGCGGCAGGCAGAAGAGTAATTCCATTTTACAGATAAGGATATTGAGGTTGAAAGAGGTAAAATAATTTGATAAGGATCCCCTAACTAGTAAGTAAGAAATATGGTTCAAATTCAGTTTCAGTGCTTTAGTCTAAGATCATACTTATACATATTTATCAATGTTTTGATAATTATCAATGATTTACTCATGTATAATGAGTAAATCATTGATCTGAAATGCTGCCAAGTTTTGGGGGGTTGGTTTGGGGTGGCTAAAATCATCAAGAGAATTGCCTCAACTGTCTTTGCTATGTATGACATATTTTTGGCTCTCTTACTCTGTTTTCTATTGTTGAGTATTTCAGGATAATCTTAATTATCTCACTGATATTTCAGGATGTTTCTCTCAGTATCTAGTATGGGTCTGGCACATAGTAGGAACTCAAGAAATATTTATTGAATGAATGAATAAATATAAACCTCTATTTTTTTCAGCAATCCTAAAGTGACTTTATCATACTTATAAGAAGGCAATTATCAAATTAATGTACATAAATATATGTGATATACATAAATAATATAAATTAATAAATGATAAAATAGTTTATACTTGGTATCCTTTAAAGGAATCTTTGTCACCAAATTTTTGGCTGGAAACTGACTCTAATAACTGTTTAGAAAAGAATCACAGTTAATATGATTTTGCTTTAGATTTTTGGCACATCCATTAAAAATTATGTGCAAATTAAAATGTATGTGTACATTTTCAAAACAACCAATAAAATGTAAATTATAAAAGAAAATGTATGTGTATGCAGTTTGGAAGTTGGTTCTATATATAGGCATACATAAACATACCTGAATGCAGGAGGGGAGACTGTATTCTGTAATAACTGGGCCCCTACAGAAATCTTCTCTGAAGGAAGAACATCTTGTTGAGGTCACCTGGAGTTAAGGGAAGGACAGATTTTAGCCCATTTTCTTCTCTCAGGCTTTACTGGAATTGAATGTTATTGTAGATTAAATGGGAGGCTTCTGTGGATGCTTCTTCATGAAAATTAAATCTCAGAGGAGTGATGATGCAGATGAGTCACTAGGGAGAGAGAGTCTGGTCAACAGAAATGTGAAAGATGACATCACAAATGACTTTGCAGAACACCAGTGAAAACAGCAGGAAGGAGATCTGAAGCAAAGCCATCTCTTTCCACAGAAAGGGAAAACCCACACCCAAATAAGAGGCAGATACAAGGAGGCAGAAATATAAAGAACTGTTCCTGAGTAGTCAGCAGTAAGTGGTTTCAGGAATACGTGAGTCCACGGTAATGGGTAGCATGAGTGTGTGTGTGCTCAGTCACGTCCAACTCTTTGTGACAGTCCACGGACTGTGACCCCGCCAGGCTCTTCTGTCTGTGGGATTTTCTAGGCACGTTTACTGGAGTGGGTTGCCATTTTCCTACTCCAGAGGATCTTCCTGACCCAGGGATGGAACCTGCATTTTCCGCATCTCCTGCCTTGAAGGCAGATTCTTCACCACCCGAGCCACCGGTGGTAACTGCAGGAGACTGCCTGCAATACAGGAGACTCAGGTTCCATTGCTGAATCAGAAAGATCCCCTGGAGAAGGAAATAGCAACCCACTTTAGTATTCTTACCTGGGAATTCCCATGGAAAGAGGAGCCTGGTGGGCTATAGTCTATGGGGTCGCAAAAGAATTGGACATGACTTAGCAACTGAACTCCCACCATAGCAGTTTTGCTGTCTGGGTTCTGCTCTATTTTACATATGATGAAAATTAGACTCTGAAAAGTTAAATGACCTAATAGAGCATTACAGAGATAGAATGTGCTGAGTTGGGGTTTAATCAGGAATCTCTTTACCTGCAAAACTTGTTACCTCCATAAATAAAAGCAGCTTAGTGACAGAAAGATGGTCATCTAATTGTTTCTGACCATTCAGCCTTTATACCTGGCCTGATGAGTATGATCTGTAAAGAACATCCTTTCTTTTCATTTGAAAGCTAAATCTACAGTTCTAAATAACTCCTTTTGAGCCTACATGGAATGTCCCAGTTTGGTCTTTATGATGTTCCCAGATAGTTCATGACTAGCTCATGGCAATTTTACTAAGTTATTTATGTATCAGGTGTTCCTTTCCTACTTATCATTCCAGAAGACCATACTTTAGCTATTACCCAGGCTTTGGAGCCCCAAGTGAATACCAATAACGTTTGAGACTCTTTGGGCCTCAGATCCTTATTCTGCCCCCTTCAGTATCTGTAGAATGAGACCTCCAGGGGTTTCAACTTTGTAACTACAAATGATTCAGAAGTGCTCAGACCCAAACCACTCTTAAACTGAAGCCAAGTTAGAAAGCAATGAAGTGTGTGCACATACAATTTCACCACTTCCTGGAAGTCCACATTCAACATAGACAGTTGATACCCTTGCTGGCAAGGAATCTGACAATGCTCAGATTGTTGGGAGATGTACCAGGATGCTATATGCTTCCTGAAATCTGAACTTCTTCTGCCCTACTTTGTTTTACCCCTTTTGTCTTGTTGATGTTTGGTGTTATTTGTTAGACTTTAAACTACGTGAGGGCAACAGCAAATCGATCACCATCCTCACTGTATCCCCTTGGTGCTACCTAATAGGCACTCAATAAATATTTCTTAAATGAATGAGATTACAATTATTGAAAGCTGTTTCTGGTTTTCAGAGCCAGTATTTCCTTTAATTTGCAAAAGTCATTTTCTTTCTCTTACTCTCTGTCTCACACACACACAAAGACACACACGCACGCACATACATGGAACTCCAGGAATGATGGAGGTAATCTCTATTTCTCATGGTATCATTACTCCTCGGAGAAAAATCCTGCTTTAATTAGAATCTTATCATGATTAGTACTTTCTAGAGTAGAGTAGAAATTTCCAGAGCAAGCTTTTCTCCAATGCCTACTTTAGGATTATGAGCATAGAAAGTTAAGAGTGCATTTTCTGTATCCCTTCTATATCCTAAAGAGAGAGTTATAATCACAGTTGCCTGCTTCAAAGGGGTGCTGTGGAAATGAATGGGCTGAGGTGCTGGCTTAGTGGCTAGCACAGAGGAATTGATCTCTAAACATCCAAATCTGCGCTCTCACTTGCTGACTAACCCACCTACTAGTTAGGAAGAGTCAGAGAAGGCAATGGCACCCACTCCACTACTCTTACCTGGAAAATCCCATGGACGGAGGAGCCTGGTAGGCTGCAGTCCATGGGGTTGCTAAGAGTTGGACATGACTGAGCGACTTCACTTTCACTTTTCACTTTCATGCATTGGAGAAGGCAAGGGCAACCCACTCCAGTGTTCTTGCCTGGAGAATCCCAGGCACGGGGGAGCCTGGTGGGCTGCCATCTATGGGGTCGCACAGAGTCGGACACGACTGAAGTGACTTAGCAGCAGCAGCAGCAGCAGCAGCTAGGAAGAGTGAT